ATTGAACGGTAGTGATGGAGAGATTCGAAAAAGCAGGTTCGTTTTGTATCCGTAATTAGATAAAAGATCATCTATGTGTCATGGTAAATTAGTTAATGAATATATATTATATTCTTTTGCCACAGCATCATTAGGAGAATTTCCGTTGAAGGATACGACACCTCCCTTCGTATTGAGGATGTGGATGAGGATTTGAGAAAACATTTTGCTTCATGTGGAAAAATAATTCATGTTTCTATTTATAGAAACTTGGAAGAGACGATTCTCTGCAAGTTTGTGGCTTCCTAACTCCTCCAGATACTTGTTTGCTTAATTAACTGTATAACTTAAAAAAACTTTTGTTTTACAGATACGCCTTCGTTTATTTTAAAGAAGAAGAAGAAGAAGAAAAGGCGTTGAGGCTTGATGGAAGTGACATGGGAGGACAGATTTTACAAATTAGGTCTTACCCGTTTCACGAAACTTACCTTGATAAAGTCTTGGACCCGATGAAAGACCCCAAAATCATTAGGCACCAACACACGTAAATTTATTATCTTTTCGTTACTAGTTTTTTTTTAATTATTATTGGAGAATTGTGTCTGTCTGTCTTGTTGATAAAATGATCTCCTACAATGTTTATTTAGGGCCAAGGTTACGGGATATGACAATTCCCTTCCTCTCGATGTTGTCAAGAAGCAGATGCAAGAATATTTCTCTACACATGGTGCTTTTGTTTACCACACGAGAACCTCTTCTGGTGCTACCATAATGTTTGCGTCTTCTTCTTCCCAGTTTTCTTGTTAATATATATATATATTTTAATTTATCCATTTGCTAACTAAAGAATTGTTTTTGAGTTTTTACAGCAAATCTTGTATTTATCTCTGGGGTCACGATGGTGTAGACAAGGCTCTGGAATGTAGTGGACGTTCTGTGGGACGCTTGAATCTTGTAATTACTAAGGTTTTGCCAATTCCAAAAAACCCATCCCCGACTGGCTACGTCCTCCCACGTACGTAAATTTGATTCTTATTCTATTTATTTTTAATTAAGTAAAACCTTTCATTAATTTGCCTGTCTATTTGTTTTAGGTATCTTGGATTCCTTGACTAAGGAGCAGAGAGATGATCCTAATCTATATTTCATTATTCAGGGAAACCAGAAGAAGAGTGAGAAGAAGAAGAGCAAGACCAAGGAGGGAAATCAGAAGAAGAAGAGCAAGACCAAGACCAAGGAGAGAAATCAGAAGAAGAAGAGCAAGACCAAGGAGGGATCCGTGGTCCGACCGCTAAATCCGGTGACCTGATAAGTAATCCAGTTTGGGTTTCAGAAAATATTCACTAATTAAAAATCCAATAAAACTCACTAAAATCCTTAAAACTCGTTGACCCAGCTATCGGGTAAACCATCGAATGTTAACCAATGATTTATTTTTATTTACTTTTGGTTAGGTTTAACTATTTTATTAAATATTTTTTGTGTAACTAATATAAGATGTTAGATTTTTACTTTTAATTTTTAGTTTTTTTCATAAAATTATTATTTTTCGTGCTATAACATATATTTTATATCTCCTTCAATTTTTAATTTTTTTTTGTTGATTTCGGATGTGGTAAATAATATTGATTCTAATTTCTAGGTTCTAACTTTTATCCAATGTTTTTAAACTCGACAAGGAGACTGACCATGACATCTTGCCAGGTCACTAGATTAGTGGATCAACCACGGGTGAACCTAGATCACCAGAATATTCTCGATAGAAATTTGGAGCATTCTCTTTGGTTTGTTGTTGCTGATTTTTTTGTATGATTCTTACTTGTTCGGATTGGATAAATTAGTGGATTGATTAGTGTGATTTAGTAAAATGTGTGGGAGCATTACGGAAGTAATCATGTTGATTAGTTCTGTATTTCATATATATATATATATTGTAATTTGAATTGTGTGTTTTATTATTAAATATAATTTTATGTTTTTATGTTTTCTATTTTTTTATTATAAGTAATTTGATGTTATAATTAAATTTGTTTACTAATTATGTCAATATTATATATTAATAAAAGTTTATTGTTTATTTATTAAAATTTAATGACAGTAATTAATTATTAATAAAATTGAGGAGTAAAATGTAAAATATAAACTTTTAATAACTCATTGTTATTTTAATTTCTATAATAACATTTGAAGGTGAAATTGCTCCAGTCCACCTCTAATTCTTTTTCTATAATAGAAATTTCCATTTTTTCTCTATTTATAAAGGAAAAAATAAAAATAGCAATCCTCTATTTTTACTTGATAATTAGAGATTGCTATTATAGACGAATAAATATATTGGAGAACACTTCATTTCTATTATAAAGTTCATTTATTTTAAAGTGAAAATAACAAAATACATTGGGGATGATTTTTTTTTTTTGGGCCACCATTGGAGATGGTATAATGTGAATATTTTTTTATTTATTCACAAAAAATTAAACATCAAATAAAATCTTTGCAAAGCACGTATCCTAGACTCTCTCTAAAAAAAAATATTTCCATCGCCTCTCGAAAAAACAAACCTAACCTAGCGCAGCAGCAGTCGCCATGGACGAATCCGCCAAGAAAGTAATTCTTCTTCGTTCCTTATCGCTTTTGTGAATGAATAGTTTCTTCTTCGTAGGCTTCTCTGATTAGATCTTTTGTAACGTAGGGTCTGGAATTGAACGGTAGTGATGGAGAGATTCGAAAAAGCAGGTTCGTTTTGTATCTGTAATTAGATAAAAGATCATCTATGTAAATTAATGAATATATAATATTCTTTTGCAACAGCATCATTAGGAGAATCTCCGTTGAAGGATACGACACCTCCCTTCCTATGGAGGATATCGATGAGGCTTTGAGAAATCATTTTGCTTCATGTGGAAAAATAATTCATCTTTCTATTTATAGAAACAATGATTGGATTATCTGCAAGTTTGTGGCTTCCTAACTCCTCCAGATACTTGTTTGCTTTAACTTTTTAACTTAAAAAAAAAACTTGTTTGCTTTTGTTTTACAGATACGCCTTCGTTTATTTTAAAGATGAAGAAGAAGAAGAAAAGGCGTTGAGGCTTGATGGAAGTGACATGGGAGGACAAATTTTACAAATTAGGTCTTACCCGTTTCACGAAACTTACCTTAATGCTGTCTTGGAGCCGATGAAAGACCCCAAAATCATTAGGCACCAACACACGTAAATTTATTATTTTTTCGTTACTATTTTTTTTTATTATTGGAGAAATTGTGTCTGTCTCTGTCTTGTTGATAAAATGATCTCCTACAATGTTTATTTAGGGCCAAGGTTACGGGATATGACAATTCCCTTCCTCTCGATGTTGTCAAGAAGCAGATACAAGAATATTTCTCTACACATGGTGCTTTTGTTTACCACACGAGAACCTCTTCTGGTGCTACCATAATGTTTGCGTCTTCTTCTTCCCAGTTTTCTTGTTAATATATATTTATATATTAATTTGTCCATTTGCTAACTAAAGAATTGTTTTTGAGTTTTTACAGCGAATCTGGTATTTATCTCCGGGGTCACGACGCTGTAGACAAGGCTCTGGAACGTAGTGGACGTCCTGTGGGAGGCTTGAATCTTGTAATTACTAAGGTTTTGCCAATTCCAAAAAGCCCATCCCCGACTGGCTACGTCCTCCCACGTACGTAAATTTGATTCTTATTCTATTTTTTTTTTAACTAAGTAAAAACATTTCATTAATTTGTTTGTCTATTTGTTTTAGGTATCTTGGCTTCCTTGACTAAGGAGCAGAGAGATGATCCTAATCTATATTTCCTTATTAAAGGAAATCAGAAGAAGAGTGAGAAGGAGAAGAAGAGCAAGACCAAGGAGGGAAATAAGAAGAGCAAGACCAAGACCAAGGAGGGAAATCAGAAGAAGAAAAGGAAGACCAATGAGGGAAATCAGAAGAAGGGATACGTGGCCTGACCGCTAAACACGGTGACCTGATAAGTAATCTAGTTTAAGTTTTTAAAAATATCCACTAATTAAAAATCCGATAAAACTCACTAAAAATCCGGTGACTCTGTTATCGGGTAAACCATCGAGTGAACCAATGAATTATTTTAATTTAGTTTTGGTTAGGTTTTTAACTATTTTTTGTGTAATTAAAATAAGAAATTAGATTTTTACTTTTTTACTTTTAGTTTTTTCAGAAAATCATTGTTTTTCGTGCTATCACATATATTCTATATCTTTTTTATTTTTTAATTTTTTTTTGTAGATTTTGTATGTGGTAAATAATATTTGATTCTAATTTCTAGGTTCTAATTTTTATCCAATGTTTTTAAATCCGACTTGGAGACTGAGCCGGACATCTTGCCAGGTTACTAGGTTAGCAGGTCAACCTCAGATGAAAACCATGAGAGGATTTGTTGGAGATGATCTTAAAACAATCAATGCCATGCAAGTTCTTATCTTAAACCTATACATTCACAATAGTAAAGCCTTAAATGTGCGAGGAAACCCTTCTTTTTTTTGTGGGTCACTAGTTCTAATCCCTTCTTCACAAATTTAATTAGAACCAAGGTACAACATTGGTAAACATTGCTTCTTAACAAACACGGCATATACATAACCTATCTCTCCTCCGAAACATGGCTGGAAAATTCACAACTTCAATTCCCCATACCAACAGATACATAATTTGGGCTTTTATTTCCACTTCTCAATCACTCACCAACATTTATTGGGCCTTTAATTTTAAAACCCAAACAAAACCGCACGTGAGGGAGCTGTAGTTACATTATATTCAAGTGAACTCTAAAGCTAACACGTGTCACTCTAAAAATATCATCTCTCTACAAATACCAATTCTTCCGCCGCGCGTCAACAAAAAAACATCTCACTAAACCTAATTTTCCGACACTCTTAGATCTCTCCATCTCCACAGGTAAATTCACTATTTCGATTATCAATTCTTCGATCTATGCTCTCTATGTGATTTTGAATATTGAATTTGATCTCAGAGAGAGATTTGAAAGATGGTGTCAGACGCAAGCAAGAAGAAAGCTGCTCAGAAGAAAGCCGCCGCCGCCGCGAAACGAGGCGGTGGTAAAGCTGCAGCTTCCTCTTCCAAATCCGCCGCTGCTTCAGATAGCTTGTCGAGCGCCGTCGACGCCCTTCAGATATCTGACCGGACGTGTACCGGAAACCTCTGCTCTCAGCCCCAATCCAGAGATATTAGGGTTAGTCCTCGAAAAGATTCGATTTTGATGGAAAGATTCGATTTTGATTGTTGATTTGTGTAATTGGATCCGATTCTTGAATACCCTTTTGATTAATTTTGTTTTGGGGGGCAGATTGAGCCATTGTCTGTAACGTTTCATGGTCATGACCTAATTGTTGATTCGATGTTGGAGCTTAACTATGGAAGACGTTATGGTTTGCTTGGGTTGAATGGTTGTGGGAAGTCCACTCTTTTAACTGCCATTGGGCTTAGAGAGTTGCCGATTCCTGATCATATGGATATTTATCATCTTTCTCATGAGATTGAGGCGACTGATATGACTTCTCTTGAGGCTGTTATGAGCTGTGATGAGGAGAGGTTGAAGTTGGAGAAGGAAGTTGAAGCTCTTGTTGAGCAGGTTTGTGCTTATTTTTGATTTTTCTGTTTGTTTGTGTGTTTGAGGTTTGTTTATTATTTGATTTTTTGTTTGTGTGTTTGAGGTTTGTTTGTTATTTGTTTTTTGTTTTGTTTGAAGGATGATGGAGGTGGAGAGCGTCTTGATACTATCTATGAGAGGTTAGAAGCTATGGATGCTGCAACTGCGGAGAAGCGTGCTGCTGAGATTCTGTTTGGTCTTGGTTTCGACAAGCAGATGCAGGCTAAGAAGACTAAAGATTTCTCTGGTGGATGGAGGATGAGGATTGCGTTAGCAAGAGCTCTATTCATTATGCCAACTATCCTTTTGCTTGATGAGCCTACAAATCATTTAGGTTTGATGATCTTTCTTCTTATCTGTGTGTTCCTTGGTGTACTGTAAATGTTGACTGTTGCTTCCGCTTGAAATAGATTTGGAGGCTTGTGTTTGGCTAGAGGAGAGTCTGAAGAATTTCGACCGTATCCTTGTTGTGGTATCCCACTCACAGGATTTCTTGAATGGAGTGTGTACAAACATCATCCACATGCAGAGCAAGCAGCTCAAGTACTACACTGGTAACTTTGACCAGTATTGCCAGACACGTTCTGAGCTAGAAGAGAATCAGATGAAGCAATACAAGTGGGAGCAGGAGCAGATTTCCAACATGAAGGAGTACATTGCTCGGTTTGGTCACGGTTCAGCCAAACTCGCTCGTCAAGCACAGAGTAAAGAGAAGACATTGGCTAAGATGGAGAGGGGTGGGCTCACGGAGAAGGTGGCTAGAGATAGTGTTCTCGTCTTCCGTTTTGCTAACGTTGGAAAGCTTCCACCGCCAGTGCTTCAGTTTGTTGAAGTCTCTTTTGGGTACACACCAGACTACCTCATATACAAGAACATCGACTTTGGTGTTGATTTGGACTCTAGGGTGGCCCTTGTTGGACCCAATGGAGCAGGGAAGAGTACCCTTTTGAAGCTCATGACTGGTGAACTGCACCCAACTGAAGGAATGGTGCGTCGTCACAACCACTTGAAGATTGCTCAGTACCATCAGCATCTGGCTGAGAAGCTAGACCTGGAGATGCCTGCACTTCTCTACATGATGCGCGAGTTCCCTGGCAACGAAGAGGAGAAGATGAGATCTGCTATTGGTAGGTTCGGTCTAACCGGTAAGGCTCAAGTGATGCCGATGAAGAATCTCTCAGATGGACAGAGGAGCCGTGTGATCTTTGCGTGGTTGGCTTATAAGCAGCCTAACATGCTTCTGTTGGATGAGCCAACTAACCATTTGGATATTGAGACAATAGACTCTCTGGCAGAGGCGTTGAACGAGTGGGATGGTGGGTTGGTTCTGGTGAGTCACGACTTCAGGCTGATCAACCAAGTGGCTCATGAGATATGGGTGTGTGAGAAGCAGTGCATCACCAAATGGAACGGTGACATTATGGACTTTAAGAAGCATCTTAAGGCTAAAGCTGGACTTGATAATTGAAGGTAAGATCCAAGTTTGTCTCTTCTTGATTGGTTTATGCCAAGAGAGAGTGAGAAAGAGATTTTGTTTCTTGATGGTTTTGGGAATGGTTTTTAACGAGTTCTGAAGCCATATCTACGATAGAGAGAGACACCATTTTATCATTATTGCATTTTTTTTAAATTGTTGTTTTATGTTTTTAAGACGAAGCAGAGAGATGGATAAGTAATATTTTTGAGAATTTTATGTTATTGATTCAATTTTATCAAAGCTAATAAGTCTGTCGTATGTTTCTAATTTAGCTGGAACGGTTGCTTCTATATAGCAATTTGCAGCCCACGATTCTTGGCGCTGCAAAGCTCCTGAAGCAACCTGAGACAGCTTGTTTCTGTAACTCAAAGATAACTTAAGTCAGCATTGTAGTTTATTGGTCTATCACTCTGTTCAGGTTCTTTTGGTTTGATCTGTTTCTGTGGTGTGAAGACAACTCAAGTCTTTCAATTGCTTCTTCCGTAGTCTCTGTTCATAAAGTTTTCTTCATATGTACTCTAATTAAACATCTGACTGACGAAAATGATAATCTTAGTCACATAAAAAGAGTTTGTGGAATATTTTTCCTCCATTAAAACGACATTTCATATAATTAACACTGTCCATTCTACTTGTTGTTTTAGAGTTTTTCAAACACTATAATAAAGTTGTAATGCTGAAAATAACCATATTTTAATACATATTTAAAAAGAAAAAAAAATTAGTGTATGTAATATTAGTCTGAATTAATATGAGCAAAATAAGTAAATAATCTTTAAAGTTACAGTTGCTCAAAAAAACAATCTATAAAGTTACATTGAAACTACTATTTTAAATGAAACAATTAAAAATCACAAAAATATTATTTTCGTGAAATGGAGGGAGAGTACTAGGTACCGAGCTCATCGAACCTTACTTAGTCAAAGCAAGATCTTACTCACTACATATTAGATACATTACCACATGAATATGATGAAACGATCAAATGGTTATATATATTACAAGAAAACATCTCTTGTGATTTGATCTTCAGACATGAGTTGGAGTTCCTGTCTCCGGAAAGTCAGCGGAAGCTACTTTCCTGCTTCTCTCAGACCGACTATTCTCAGCAAACTTGATACTTCCTTCATGCAACCCTTGTCGTTTCTCATCCTCTGTCCACTCAGAACCATAATAATGCTCCTCTTTCGATCTTTCTCCATCGCTCGTCGGTCTTAAAAACATACTTCCCCATTGCGGAAAATGTATAAACGCAACCGGGACGGTGCACAAAACCGCCATAGCTCCCATCAAAGATAGTCCATCCGCAGTACTAAACCTAGAACTTGAGAAGAAAAGCAGCTGAGTCAAACCTGAACCAAAGTTTCCTCCCGCGCCAGTTAGTCCCGATATTAACCCTAGTGATCGGCGTGAGACGAATGGTGCAACACCAAAGAGTGCTCCACAAGATGCTTGTGTACCGATTGAGAAGAGCATCATTGCTAAAATTGCTATGGGGAGTGAACTAGCACGACCTAGCCAGATGCAAAAGAGTGCTCCTACGGTTTGAAAGATCCATAGGGTCCATAACCGGCCTCTCATGCCGAAGACTCGGGCTGCTAGATCAGATGCGTAGCCACCGAAGGGACGGGCGAAGAAGTTTGCCATTCCGAAGCTGGCTGCTACTATACCGGCTGTTTGAAGCTTTAGGTTAAACCTGTTACGTATATAACAAGAAAACAAAAGTTATTGTTATGACTTGTGCTAGAAGTAAGTAAATATCATGGTTTTGAGTTTAAGGAAGAAGAAACCAAACCTGTCGAAAAAGTATCCGGAGATAACGTTGTTGATAGTTAATTCAATTCCCATGGAAAATCCATAAAGAACAAATAAAATCCATGTTCTGTAGTTCTTCACAGCAAACCAGAAAACCTAAAACAAGTAGCATAATAACAACATAACCCGTTAGGCACTAAAATATCAGTGTCGTCTCAAATTGTTTATAGGTCTTATTCAAAACAATATTAAACGTATATTTAACAATGGAGTGAAGTATAACAATTAATAACTTTATCTATATTTTTATTATTATTTTTTTCTAAATCATAAGCTTTTTTCAAAGCTTTCTAAACAATATTAATAGTTTTTTTGACAATAAAAATTTATAAAAATTGTAAGCTTTAAATTTAGATATATATATCTATAAACTTTCTAGATTATAGTTTATATATTTATTTAAAAAATGTATTTACTCATAATCCTGTTTGGCTACTATACTTGCACATGCTAAAAGAAGGTTATAAAAATATACTAAAGAAAATATTCTTGATATGTTTTGTATCAAATTTTGATTTCTCATATATATAGAAAAATACCTTGGAGAATTTGTCTTTAGAAACTTGACCTCTCTTCTGAAGGGTACTAAGGTTGCCATCAGGAAGATCTTGGCCAAGAGTGAGAACGAGAATACCCACTACGACTTGAAGAAAGCCTGGGATGAAAAATGCGATGCGCCAAGCCATGAACGGAGTGGCTCCAGCGACTTTAATAACTTGGAAGACCATTGGCATGAGTAGCTGAGTCACTCCACCTCCCATATCACCCCACCCGCCTGCACAACCGTTGACTAGTCCTATGATCTTACCGTTAAACATGACACTGGTCCAATACTGGCACGATACAAACGTGGCCAGGCAGAAACCAATCATGAACCGGACGGCTAAGTATCCGACCGGGCCGGTCACAAACGACATTGAGAACACGGTTGGAGCGGTTAGCATGAGGGAAAAGGCGGTTCCATACCGTGCACCGAGGAGGTCACAAACCGCTCCCATGGCTAGCCTTGAGAAAATGGCACCGGAGACTGAGGCCACTCCTGCGTTTCCAACGTCGGTTTTGGTTAGGTCGAGGTTGTCGCGGATGATGGGGACTAATGGTGCTGCGGCGAAGGTTGAGATGAAGCAAGTGAAGAATGAGACCCATCCTAAGTGGAAGGCTCTCATGTGAGGTTTAGCAAATGAGAGTGGCTTGAACACTTTGGCTCGGTGTTCGGAATCAACAGGAAGGGCAAATTTAGATGTTGGATCGTCTGATTGGAGGGTTTGGGATGAAGCATCTACGGAGAAGGAGAAGACTTGTTCTCTTGCTGTGACTCCATGCAAGGAGGTTCCAATAGAGCCTTCTTCATTAGAAGTCATTTTAAGGTTTGAGTGTGAGATGAAAGACTTTGAGTGAGGGAGAAGGTTTTGTTTCTCTTTGTTGTTTGTTTGGTGTAATTGGGAGATTGACAAATGTTAACTATATATAGAGCCAGAGGGAATATCAACTGGTGGTAGGGTTAGATGGGTCCAAATATGAGATTTGAATAATAGAAGAAAATGTACCAAATTTAGATTAAAGAAAAATTGTTAGCTGATAAGCAGCATTTAATTATATATGACTTGTAACTTTGATTATTAATGGCGGAGGAAAAGGCCAGGCATATCAGTTATAGAATTTGAGAACTATACATATTCGACATGCATAATGTAGCTGCTAATAATACGTGCTTGATCATTACTATAACAACGTACGTTTCATACGTGTACCACTACATTTTGAGTTTTGCCCGACAACGATGCAAGAACTTGTTAGTGAGTTAATTAACCCGAAAATAAATTCAATCTCTTCTTATTAATGCGGCTTATGTTTTTTTTAATTTACGTTCTTTTGTTTCTTAATAAAAAAAGATAAAGGTTTGAATATTTATATACCAGGAATCGTGAGGTTTTATCAAGTCTAATGAGAAAATTTCAAGCAACCTCCATAAAGTTGGAAGATTTTGTAGTATCTTTACACTTTTCGTTGGACAAAATTCAACGATTTTAAGTAAAAATGCATAACAAAAAGAGAAATGTTTCATTTTGAACTTTTAAATAGATAATTTGTGACAAAAAAAAGTAAATAGATAATTTGAAAAATGAACAAAAATACGCGTAAAATCTGTTTGGCTTAGCAGGCTATAATATAGACTACTACTATTATTCTTATGGAACTTCTCTAGAATCGCGGTAGAGATACATAAGTTTACAGTTGGCATGCCGCTGGCAAATGAAAACATATGGCCGTACACATCAATAATGGCAAAAAGCGTCAATATGGCTTTAACAATTTATAATGTCTCTTGGGCATTCCATGTGGTCGACTCACCACCAAATTGTTATCTTATGATAAGTTCCCACAAATAAGTCTGAACCTTTTATATATTGTCTATTACATTTTTGGGTATTTAGAAAATTTCGCGCATGTTCTCATGGCTTACTAAACGAAATGATAAGTTGACTTTCTTTAACGTTCCCTAATATTGTATCATCTCAATATATAACTTCTATACTCGTTACATTTTGTTTTGGCAATTAAAAGTGGTTGTAGTCTTATAAACTTAAAATGTTACAGAAATTACCATTTTAACAAAGTTTTAATCATCATCTTTTGTTTTCAATGGTTTTAGTTGTATTGTTTTCACATGTAGGGAAGCCAACTATAAAAGTCCAATGCTTATAGGTTATGAAATTCAAATAATCTTGTAGAAAAGTCAGACAAAAAAACTCAATTTTTCATAACATGCGTAATGGCTCATTGACTTCTTATATTTAGTTAATATTCATAGCTTATCTTAGTTGCAACTTGGTACTTTGTAGACTTCAAAAGCATCATATACATGCTAAATAAAGAATGGAAACAGCCTAGAGGGTCTAATTCTTCTGCATCAAGTTAAATTTCATTTCATTTGGATATAGCTAGCGGATCATCAAAAAATTGAAGAGCTATGTTATTACTTACATATTTTTGGGAATTCCGTTGTCAAAAATATAAAACTGGAGTTAAACAAATGTAGCATTTTTGTAAAATAAAAATTTCAAGTTAGCATATAGTATAAGAAAATAGCCTTTACTGTTATGGTTTAATTAAGAGATATGTATATATACATTGAATTGATACCTAAACTAGTTTGTGTTGGTTATGTCTTTAAGTTGTTCAAAATAAGTCACATTCAATATCTTTTTTTTATCGTAAAGTTCTTTTATTTTTATTTCATCAAAATATTAATTATTATTTTCTCTTTCTAATGGTTTATATATGTGGTTCAGATTCAATATGCGAATCAGACAAATTGAAAGATTAAGATGTGCTTCTAGATTGGCTTTTCAACATACTGTAGTTTGGATTTGCGTAGATACGGGCTTTTGGAGTGAACAAACACTAGTATAGACTTCAAGTGGCTTCATTCAAAAGTAAACGGTATGAAATAGATTAGCCTTAATGACGGCAGTTTTCACGTAAGATGAACGTGGAGCTGGAGCTTGTTCACCAGAAAAGTGGTTGATGCCTTAGCGTGCTCATATAATCTTGTTATTTTTTGTTCTGA